ACAGATAGATATGTTAATGTTTGTTGTAGAAAATTAGCATTTTAAAAACACTAAATTAAAGGGGGGGGTCTCCTAAAATTTCCTCAAACTTTGCTTGTACAGAGTTTATTTTTTAAAACTTTTAAAATACTTTCTTTAGGATCAGCTGGAATCTGTCTTGGAAGTGTTACATAGACAGATGGAACAATACAAAGACCAACCACAACACACAGAAAAAATTTCATATCAACAGAAACTTTTGCAGGAAGATCTCATACATATTCGGGCTGAAATATCCAAAGTATCTACAGTAAGTAGAATATGGTTTAATATACAGTCATAATTTCCACATCAAGCCTATTAGAATTGACAGTCTTTTAAACCTTCATCTGATATGGGAAAAGATATCAAATGAAGGTTTAAAAGACTGTAAGGGCTCGACCTTCAGTGGCCACAGCTTAGTTGAATGCTGACTAATTTCATACTCTTACATGGCTAAAGGGTAGGAAGTGTTGCAAGTGAATCATCCTTGCATCAGAGGCTGATGGGAGATCTATATCCTGGGACCTAGAAGTTATAGAGTGGGGTTCTAGGTTTATCTGTGCCTTCTCTGAAGGAATCCTCCTTGATATGATGCTGGGCTTCAAAAGATGATATACCGAACTTTGCTGCTCTCTAATTGTTTATGTTACTTTTGACTTTGATATGTAAAGTCAAAGTGCAAAACTATTTTGTCGTGCAGTATGCTTTAGCTAACTGTATTTAACCTAGATTTTCAAAACAAGTAGTGAATCCTGTTCTTTTAAGGTTTATCTTGTGCTCATATTTGATTATCTTTAGATGTAAATAATAAAAATAATTAAACTTATATGCCGCCTGACTCCCATCAGCTCTGGGCAACTCACAACAATCAAATGAAGAAATTATAATAAGGTCAATAAAAGATAAAAGACGGCAAGCACGACAGACCAGATGGAGTGAAGGGAGTGGTCTCCCTCTCCCTTGCCAAAGGCCTGGGTGAAGAGCTGGGTCTTCACCGCTCTTCTGAACAGCAGCAGCGTGGGAGCTTCTGGTTCTCAGGGGAGCCTCATTCCAGAAGCAGACGCTGCTACAAGAGAAGGCACACTTCCAGGGTCCTAATAGATGATATTGTTTAATTGAAGAAACCTGAAGCGTGCCAGCCCTGCAAGATGGAAATGGCTGGGCAGATATATGGGAGATAGGCTGCCCTTCAAGTAACCAGGTCCTATGCCACGTAGGGCTTTATAGATAACAACCAGCACCTTGAATCACAGTCGAAAGCCAACTGGCCACCAGTGCATCTCGTGAAGCAGAGGTGTTACACGGGCATACCAAGACATGCCCATCACTGCTTACAATGCTGCATTCTGGACCAGTTGAAGCTTCCGGGTGGTCTTCAAGGGCAGCCTCATGTAGAGCGCATAGCAGTAGTCAAGCCATGAGGTGACTAAGACATGAGGGACTGTCTGAAGGGCCCCCTGATCTAGGAAAGGATGAAACTGGCACGCCAGATGTGCAAAGACTTCCTGGTCACAGCTGCCACCTGCTCTCCAAGCAGGAGCCGTGAGTCCAGGAAGACCCCTAGGTTGCGCACCAACCTCGAAGGGGTAACTGCTACCCCATCCAAGGTCAAGGGTGGAATATCCCCAGATCTGGGTAGCCCAAACACCCAGAGCCACTCTGTCTTGCTAGGATTGAGTTGGAGATGTTTCCTCCCCATCCAAACCTACATAGCCTCCAGGCACTGGGACAGAACCTCAGCAGCCTCACTTGGCTAGCCTTGAGTTGAAAAATATAATGGGCTATCATCAGCATACTGATGAAACTGAACCCCAAACCAGTGGATGACTTCACCTGGTGGTATCATGTAGATGTTGAAAAGGAAGCTATGCATTTATGTTATATGCCATTGTTTTATTTATATATATAAATAAAAATATAGCCTTCTGACTTTAATGAGAGTTACTCTGAAGTAAGAGCTGTCTGCATATATTACAGCCTAAAGTACTTTTAATTGCGTTTACGCTTGCATAAAGTACTTGCTTAAATATTTATATTAACCAGCAGCTTTATAGCTTTTTATTGCTTATAAAAGGGCAACAGCAAGTTTGTTGTCTTTGCCAATAGGAAATGGAAAATGCCTGGAATGAATATTTGAAATTGGAAAAAGATGTGAGCCAGCTGAAGCAAACTCTGCAAGAACAGATGAATAGATCGTGTTTTTCTCAGGTCAGGCTATTTTCAATCTTTTCACTTTGCAGTTCCCTAAACTGTTTGAAGGTTTAGTCAGATCTCATCTCACTGGGAGATCTAATTCTTGATGGGAATAGAGATTTTTTTTTTCCTGTAGAGAATAAAAAAAGCTTCACATGCGTATTATATCACAGTATGCCAGAACTACCTATGTACATGCAAATGTACCAAATCTTTATGATAAGCATCTGATGTCCCATTCTCTGGCCAACCATTGAATGCTATGGCAAAAATCACAAACAGGACCTTTTTTTTCTGAGGCAGCCAGACATCTTTGAGTTGCCAAGGAAATTTTCCTGGGAAATACGAATGGTCTCCTTTGATCTAGCATTTAGGTAGCTTTCAGCACTTATTTGTTTCAATCTGTATTATGTTAATTTATTGCTGTCAAATGAAGCGTAATCTGCTGATGGCATCTGATTTGGGGAGTTTTTAGGGATGTTTATGTTGAATGCTGTTTAGTTTTATAGTTTGGTTCCTTATTTTATATTTTAAACTACGGTATGATAAATTCTTAGGGATTTTATCCTATAAACAGCCCTATTCTGTTCTCTCTCTTTAAGCAACCAACAAAGAACCCCAATCCAGCAAGCATGACAGACTTCCCATTCGTTTTACTTCTCTGTACCTTTTCAGAAGCAAATTACACAGATTATATGCAAATATATTTTTCCTAGAATGCTGAATAATGTAAGAATATTTATGTTGTGTGCTGTTTTCTAGCAAAGAAAGCTCCTGTTTGAAGGACCATTTTCTATTTGTATAATCAATACTGATTTTCATTCTCCCCTCTCCCAACCTTTTCATTAGGAGAAAACTCAAATGCAAAAAGATTTATGGAGAATTGAAGATGTTACAGCTGGCCTAAGTGCAAATAAGTCCAACTATAAAGTCATCATTGAATCTATCAAGAATCCAGGTAAGAAATCTTAATACAGATATTACAAATGTAGCTACCAAAATATTATCAAATGCAGTGAATCTTGAATGAAATCTAGTATATATGTGCTTCCATCTTGTATTTTAGGCTACTATATGTGCTTCCATCTTGTATTTTAGGCTAATGATATCTATATCACAGAAGGAACTCTTTGGCCCACTTTTTGACATTCATAATGTTTCCAATGAAAATCTAAGCTACCTCTCCCTGATCACAATGTTTCTGGTATTTTATCATTAACTCTCCTACATAATAACCTGCTGATGCCTTTTGTTTCAGAGAGGGTGTTGTAAATGCTATATGTATTTGCATATTTCTAAAAAACAGTTCACTATATCTTAAAGTGCTTTTCTAAATCTTAGATTTACTGTCATACTGTTTATTATGGAGATAAGAGTTATTCGTTTTTCTGTGCTACATCTGAATGTGATGTGTATTCTTTGCAGAACGAAAAACAGTGCCTTCATTTTCAAAGCCTCTAGTGCCTTCATCATCATCTACTCTCATGTCAACTGACAGCAAACTTTCTACTCAGCGAAGTCCACCATCTAGTCCTATCAAGCCCTCATTGGAAGTCAGACTTTTTTCTCAGCCTTATACACAGCCCAGAATGTTCTCTCCATCTCAACAAGTGAAAAAAGTTGAACCTCCAATCCAGTCACCAGTAAAATTAAAACCAAAGGTTGTAAGTTTCGTAATTCCACACTCTTGTAGTTAGTGGCCTAAAAAGCACTGAGAATGGTAATGGTTTTCCTTGTGTGTAGAACATGAAGTAATGAAGACTTATATCAGATAAATGACATATTGTAGGTTTCTTTACAATGTTCTTGATTGTGATCAATTGAAGCTTTGATTTAATCTGCTTATAAATGACTTATAACTGAGGAAATCCCAGGAAAAACTCTTGAAGGAATTAAATTGGGGTTAAATTCATATATATTATTTTCTGTGAGTAAAGCAGGAGAATTGGCATTGGTTATTTTCCACATGGAGCAATGAACACATGTTTCCTTTTTCATGCTATATCAGGAAGATGAAGCACCACCAAGACCTCCTCTTCCACAGTTGTATAGCCCTGATGATAACCCACCAGCTGTTCCACCTCTTCCTAAAGAAGCTACTGTAATAAGGCACACGTCAGTGCGTGGTCTCAAACGTCAATCTGATGAAAGAAAACGAGACCGTGAACTTGGACAGTATATAAATGGAGATTACAGGGTAAGCATTCAATCCCAGGTTTTATACTGTATTTATATAGTTCAAACATTACTGTAGTTCTAGTACAACCATCCAATATGCTGTGATTGCAGGGAGGCAGTATATGAAAAATGTTGCAATCTAGTTTAATTGTATATTTATCCATGTAGGTAGAACTCCGCTCATATGTGAGTGAACCTGAATTGGTAACAATAGGCGGTGATCTGAGCCAACCTTCCATTGGTTTTCTTGGTACTGACAGTAGATACCAAACATTACCTAGCAGAGGTGAGTGAAGAGACTGATGTTTCTGTATTTTATAAGAGTATACCTATTATGGTTTTGCATTTCCAAATGATAATATCATTTGACACATAGCTGTGTTGAAACTCCAGATATATCTTAAAAGGGCAAGGTTTGAAGAATCGATTATATGTATGTGTATATATTCACATATGCATAAATCCTACTCCTGAAACACTAAGCCATGTATAGGTAGTCCTCGCTTAACGACCACAGTTCGGACCAGAATTTAGGTCACTGAGTAATGTGGACATTAAGCAGATTATCACGTGACCGCTTTACTTAGCAATCACAATCCTGGCACTCTCAGCTGCCGTGGTTTATCAAGAATCATGGGTCGTTAAGTGGACAGAGTCCCAGGTAAGGAGTGTGGGGGTGCCTCAGCGCAGGCCACACACAAGTTGGGGGGGTGCTGCAATGTGACACAAAGCCTCAGCCACCCCAGCCCAGCAGCACTTACAACTGCAGGGTCACTGCAACTCCCCTCACCTGCCTATCTTCCCCCCCCCATCTATGCCCTTTTGGCCACCCTGCTCAGCGGTACTTGGCG